AGTGGATAAACATTAGGATTGTTCCTAGTTTGGGGCTGTTACAAATAAATCTCCTATGGCCATTTGCGTGCAAGCATTTGTAATGAAATATGGTATCATTTCTTGGGTAAATACATGAGAGTGGAATGGCTAAATATTATGTTAGATGCATGTTTAGTTTTTAAGATAGTAATGATTAAACCAAAGGGTTTTCTAATATTTATATCACTTTACTTTTCCATCAGCGATGTATGAAAGTTTCAGTTCCTCTACATATTCATCAACTAGATATTCTGATAGACACTGTTATCTCATTGAGCTTTTTTTTCAGCTTTATTGAGATAAATTGATGTTATATTGTGTAAGTTTAAGGCATACAATGTGATGAGTTGATGTATGTATATATTGTGAAATTATTACCGTGATAGGTTAGTTAACATTTCCATTACCTCACATAATTACCACTTTTTTGTTGTGGTGGTGAGAATATTGAAGATCTGCTCTCTTAGCATCTTTCAAGAATACAACACAGTATTAACTATTGTCAACATAAAATTGAGTTATTAAATCTAATTTCATAAATGAATAATGATGCTGAACAGCATTTTGTGTGTTCATTTGTCATCACCTATGTTATTTGGTAAAGTAATTTTTGAATGTTTGCCTATTCTGGGTGTCTTTTTTTTTTAATTATTGAGTTTTCAGACCCCTTTATATATTGTGGGATCAAATCCTTTATTAGAGATTACTTGAATATACTCTCTCCAAGAAGATTGCTTGGTTTTATAACATCTTAGAGGATCTTTTGAAGACCAGAAGATTTAAATTTTGATGTTCTCAAATGTATCAAATTTTTACTTTATCAGTTAGTTTTGGTTTTGGTGTTGTTTCTAAGAAATCTTTGCATAACCCAAGGTCATGAAAATTTTCTGCTGTATTTTTTGCTAGAATTTTTAGACTTTTAGGTATTACATTTACATCTATGGTCCGTTGTTTATGAATCTTTGAATGGGTTATGAATCAATGTTCATTGTTTTGCACATGTATATTTAATTATTCTGAGACCCTTTGTTAGTAAATTTCTCTTTTCTCCACTGAATTGCTTTTTGCCTTTGCTTTTGTGGAAAATTAGCTAGTCATATATATGTGGGTCTATTTCTGGACTATCAATGTTTTTTTCATTGATCTATTAGTCAATTTTTATGGCAATACCACACTGTCTTGGTAACTGCAGCTCTGGAATAGAAGGAGAACTTGATTAATATTTTCTTAGTGTTTGTAGTACAACTTTTTTCTTCTTTTGATTCAACTCTCCTAGATCTTTTGCATTTCTTTATATATTTTTGTTTCAGTTGCTCTAATTTTACCAAAAAAAAATGCCTACTTGGTTTTTGATATATTTGAGGAAATTTGCTATCTTAACGATATTAGACATTTCAGCAATAAAGATGATACATCTTTCATTTATTTAGATATTTTATTAGGTTCTTTTATCAGTGTTTCCTAAGTTTTAGAGTACAGGATTCCATATACTTATTAAGATTTAACTTTACATATTTTGTAGTTTTGATGCTTTTATAAAACACATTTTAAAATTCCATTTCTCATTTTTCATTGGTAGTATGTGGAAATATACATTATTTTGTATATGGATCTTTCATCCTAAAACTCTGTTAAGTTCACTTTTTTCTTCTAATATTTTTATGGATTTCATTAGATTTTCTATATGTACAACCATATAATCCACTAATAAACAGTTTCACTTTCACCTTTCCAATTTGGATGCTCTCTATTCCTTTTTTTTTCCTTGCCCTATAGAGTTGGAGACAACCTTCAGTACAATGTTGAATAGAAGTAAAAAAACCAATCTACTTGACTTTTTCCTGATCTTATTGAAACTGTACTTTATCTTTTACTGTCTTATATGATGTTAGCTAAAGGATTTTCATTAATGCTCTATATCAGTTGTAGGAAGCATAATTTTAATATTACTTGGTCAGTTTTTATCCTTATTGGAAATTAGAAATTTAAAATGTTCTTATGCATCTATTGAGATGTCATATAATTTTCATTTTTTAGTGTCTTAATATGCTGAACGACATGAATTGAATTTGAATGTTTAGATGAACCACATATTTCTGGAGTAAACCAATCATTGCCCATTACTGTTTTTACATATTGCTAGATTCAATTTGTTAAAATTTTGTTTGGAATTTTTGAATATATGTTCATGACTGGCAATGCTATGTTGTTTTATCTTCTTATAATGCCTTTGTCTGATTTTGATATGGTGGGAAACTTCTCTTCATAACGAAAGTTGGAAAATACACCTCCTGTTCAGTTTTCTGAAAGAATATGTGGACAAATGGTCATATCTTTTTCCTTAAACGGAGTTCTTAGTCAAGGAAAGCTAGATTTGAAAAAGCCACCTGGACGTGATTTTGGGGTGAAGGGGAGTTATTTTTAATACAAATTTTCTATTTGAGATCTTCTTCATTCTTGAATTTTTTCTGTAGTGGTTCTCAGTGTCCGTATTCATGAACAAGTATATATATATTATATTCCCTTATACATGTAAACATACATATACATGAATGACTCTACACACACACACACATATATATTATCCTCTTCTTATCTTCTTATCATCCTCACCTAAAGCATAGATTGTTTTTTACTTACAATCTCAATCTTAATGTCAGTAAAATTTCTTTTGTAGTGTTCTTATTCTAATTATTATTGATCTTTCAAAATCTTTTATTGTATTATACATTAAATTATATTGATCTTCAAAATATTCCATCAAAAATTTCATTTAGAGGGCCAGCCCCAGTGGCCTAGTGGTTAAGTAAGTTCAATGCACTCTGCTTCAGTAGCCTGGGTTCAGTCCCTGGGCATGGACCTACAACACTTGTCAGCAGCGTGCTGTGGTGGTGACCCAAATACAAAATAGAGGAAGATTGGCAACAGATGTTAGCTCAGGGCAAATCTTCCTCAAGCAAAAAGAGGAAGATTGACAACAGTGAATCTTCCTCAATAAAAAAAAAAAAATCAGTTAGTACCAATTCCTGATTTTAAATTTTTATTTTCTATGGAAAATATAAAATTTCTGAAATAGCATATGTCTACTTAATAATGAAAAAAGATAATAAATTTTAAAATGAATTAAATATGCTATCAACGGTTGTAAATCTCAACATATTTTGTTCTCTCTTTGGTTCATTATTTGAGGGACTATCAAAAAGAACATCAAAACTTATTTCAGTAGTGGGATATTGGGTTACGTTTATTCAGTTTATTTTTTCAAATCTAGTAGTAGAGACTTTTACCTTCTTTGATCATAAAAGTCATAATTATTCAGTGAAGATATTTTGCGGATAGTGGATAAGCAAAAATATTAAATTAAACATTTTAAAAATATCAGATGTCACCAATACCCAATATTGACATTTCATTCTATCTCTGTGCAACACATTTTTTCTAGGAAAAAAATAATTCTGTATATATATATATATATATATATACATATATATGTGTATATATATATGTGTGTATATATATATATATACAAATATATATATACACATAGTTCATACTTAGATATATAATTTTTTCTCAATAAGTGAACAAAAGTCAATTATATAAACTTTTTAGTAATATTTATGCTCACATGAAAATGTACATATAGATTTTTTATTCCAACAAAATAATAATATTCAAATTTGTCTGACTACATAGAAAATTTTATTCCTTGATGGTGGATGAAGAAAGAGTCCAGTTTCTCTATGATGTAAATATAGTCCCATGAATGTTCAAAATACTAAAAATAAACAGAAAAAATGTGGAGGAATTTAGGGAGAGTTAGGAGGAAGTTTTTCCAGAAGACATAACATGAATATGAATTGCTACATATCATATCACACTGTCACTAGAAATATAGTATAGACCAAATCACGGGATTATCTCCTTTTGCTTCCTATAAGGAGAATTATCAAAACAGTGCTGTCAAACAATGAATCCTAATCAAAATATAATACACACTCATATGAACCAAATTTGAGGAAAGTCAGAAGCATGAAATTCAGCCAATGAATCCAATTCATCATAAAGTAGATCACCTATGTGAAAATACAAAAAACATTTAAAGCATGACATTTACACAAGAATTATTTTTGTTTTTCAGGGAAGTAGGGAAAAGTAACAATCTATTACACAAAAATAGACATTTAAGAATCAGGATCAAGCTGGCGAAAATAATTGTAAAAAACTGAAAGCTTCCATTGGAGACCTCAAAAGATGTATCCTAATTGATATATCCACTGTTATAGTCAAATGGGCTCTTTTAGACAAAATTAGATGTAATGCAGACCTTCTGAGTTGCTGAAATGCCAAGTGTGTAGAGTTAATAGACTCTCTAGGGCTCATATGTGAAATAACGGCACCGATGAGTAAAAAACAGGACCTTGATATCCCCACGTGGAATGAGGGCATTTGAACAAATTCAGATGACTGTTGATTTCTAGTCTTCTCACTACAGTGAGCCTCCTTGAAATTATAATCAAGTTTGATCTTAACATACCACATAGAAGAGTATGAACGCTAAATCAGAAGAAATATGCTTGCACAAAAATACACACACATGCACAAATGCACACATAGACACTTGAAAGTTTGTTCTAATGGTTGAGAATAACGAAGAGTCATTTGAACTCCCCTTCTGTACCTATTATTCTTCCTCACTCCCACACAGTGCACCCATTCTCCTTGCCAGCTCTTATGGTGTACATTCCTTAACTCATTCTACTGTGCTATAAAACTTAATTATTACACTTTTATTTCATTTCTCCCCCTCAAAAAGGCAAAGATTTTACTGTTTTGTTTACTAATGTATTTATAGTACTTAGCAGTGCGACTGACACATAGAGGGCAATCTCTAAATATATGATGAACTTATTTGTGCTTGCGTTTTCCTCTTAAAGCACACACAGTAATTCTTAAAGTCATAACCTAATAATTAAGAATCACATTGGGCAGTCAACTTTAAAAAAGATATTATATAACTTTTTTGACAGGCTATGTAGGGCATATTTAACATCTGAGTTCTTCAAACTATAGATCAAAGGATTTAACATGGGGATTACGAGGGTGTAAAATATAGAAGCCACTTTATCAGTGTCAAAGGAATGACTGGACGTAGGCTTCACATATGTAAATATCAAAGTCCCATAGAACACTGTGACCACTGTCAGGTGGGACCCACAGGTGGAAAAAGCCTTGTACCTACCCTCAGCAGATTTCATCCCGAGAATGGCTCTGAGAACGAGCAGGTAAGACACAAGAACTATCAGAAGGGATATCAAATTAATACTTGCTAATATCAGAATAATCATTTCAATTTCACCTGTGTTCGAGCACAGCAATGATAACAAGGGGAGACTGTCACAGTAGAAATGATGGATGACATTGTAACGACAGAAGGATAAATTAAAAAGCTTTATGGTGAATAAAAGAGAAACAAACGTGCTGTAAAGATATGGGATTGCCACCAGCACATGACATACCCTTTGGGATATGATGACTGTGTAGAGCAGGGGGTTACAGATGGCCACATAGCGGTCATATGACATTGCTGAGAGAATAAAAAATTCACTAATAATAAACACAAGAAAGAATGCCAGCTGTGTGGCACAAAAATAATAGGAGATTGTATTTTGATCCATAACAAAATTTGCCAACATTTTGGGTCCCACAGCTGTTGAATAACCAAGATCAGTAAAAGCCAGGTGTCTGAGGAAGAAGTACATGGGTGTTTGTAGCCTGGAGTCCATCTTGGTGAGGATGACCATGCCCAAGTTGCCCACCACTGAGATCATGTAGATGACGAGGAAGAGTGCAAATAATGGAGCCTGCAGCTCAGGGCAGTCTGTGATTCTCATGAGAATGAATTCATTCAGCACTGTTTGATTGCGTTTTTCCATCCAGGTTTATCAGAAAACCTATTCTGGGTAGAGACAAGGGCAGAGTCAATAGCGTTCATGTAGTATAATCTGTTAATTTTTTAGTATACAAAGTTGGAATCAATGAAATATATCCAAACTTACCATTTAGACTCTCATAAAATAATCTACCTCCTACAAATAAAGCATATATATTTAGTAATAGAAACAGAGACAGAGTTGGAGATAGAGATTTGTGGTATCAATGGGGGAAAATTTGTCCCCCAAAAAACATTTGATAATATTTGTAGGAATTTTAGTTGTCACAACTGGAGAAGAGGTGCTACTGTCATATAATGGTTAGAGTTCAGTGATGCTGCTAATTCTCCTGCTATATTAGGCTGGCCCCGACAAGAAAGAATTATACAGTGCAAAATGCCAATAGGCCCAAGGTTGGCAAACCTTGACATACGTATAGATATAGATGTAGAAAGACATAAATGTAGATAACAGAAGCAAAAATGAAAAATCGTAAAAAATTTAGGCATTAGGTTTAGGGGTGTTTGCTAACTTTTCTATTTGTCTTTTATATAATGACAATTACATAATTACCTTTACAAAATTACAATCACATAATGTAACAATACATATGTTAATTATATAACAGAATTTTTAAAATCCAATTCCAATTATGTGTGGAAACATTTAGAAGCCCGTACTTTGAAACATATTCCTACGAAAGTTATTATGCCTATAGGTGGTACAGGATGAAAAAATTAACACACAACCGATATTAGACAGAGGTGTATAAGCAAGGAAAGTCTAAAAGATCATAGTATAGATGACTTGTCTTCATATAGGGAAATATACATAGATGCATATAGTCTCTGCTATGCCTATATTTTTGGTATATGCAAAGGAGTACTTTGGGCAAATGACGTAAGTTTTCTTAGTCTCTATACATATCAGCAAATTCAACTGTTTCTTGTAGGTTGTTGGAAAAATAAGTGAGAATTAAATGTTTCAGTGTGTCTATGGTACCTGGAAATATCTCTCAAGTATCAAGTACTTATGGGTTATTTTATGTGTTTGTTTTTATTTTTCTAGGTGGAGACAATGTGTTACTTGAAACGGATTATCTTTGCATATGTATATATAAATTTTGTGTGTGTGACGACTTCTTTTCAGGAGTATAATGATGAATACATCGAGTGGTGTGTTATCCAGTAACTGTCCCCAGTGTGTCCCCGCCCCATCAGGACCCAACTCCATGACTACAACTGGAACATCAATATGCTGGTCTTTTGTATAATTTATCTTCTTTATTACTTAAAACATTTAGTAAAAATTTACCTAAAACCTAATGTATTTCTTTCTCTCCAGGTGCGTTTTCATTATAACTGACATATACTAGTTTTTTGTCACACATAAAGTATGTTTTGTCGTGGGGGAATCTAGGCTAGTATGACGATACTGAGCAAATTAAGGGAAAGTGAGGTCATTAGAATAGGTTTTATATCATGAACTTTTATAAACATTCCCTTTGGTAAAGAGTTTCTCCACAGAAAAAAATATGTTTAAAATCACCATATTATACAACATCATACTGGGAAGATAAAATACCCAGAAATATTCCACGATGTTAAGTCTCTCTGCACATTAGGTTCATGAAAATTCCTCCACAGTATGACATAGCACTTAATGCCTACGTAAATAAGTATAATGAAATAAAGATGTAGACAAATATCCCTAATAAACCATCAGTTAAAAGAAATACCAGAGTAAAATGAAAATGGCCGGCTAAGGTAAAAGAATTAGTGGGTCAAAAAATCATGTCTATGCTTCCTTTGAAAAAAATAGAATTGATTCTGGCTACAAGGAAAATAGCAGTGTCAGGTGTCTCTGAGTGAGCTCTAAGAAAACAAATAGAAAAATACAGCATTTAAAACATTGAATTATAAATGTGTTTACAGGAAAGCGACACTTTCTTTGTGAGTTTCTGATATTCTACCCTGTCCCCATGTACATAGCTTTCTATGTCAGAAACACTGAACTACTGTTAAGAAAAAATATTTTAAATCAAGGGTGTAATAAGCAATATAAGTCTTATTTAGGTGCAACGAAAAGTTAAAGAAAACAAATCACATTGCTAAGTGCTCATTTCCTGTAAGATGAAGGAGGATAGGGGGTCTTTCTGTCACCAGCATTAGACTTCTATGGAAAGCATCAAATTACCTTCTCATTGTTTACTCTGTGTTGATTATCAGAATATTATTTTTTAAATGAATACTTTTTGAGAATATTATATCTACTTTCTGTAAGATTCCACTGGAAACTGAATATTCTGTACATTGTACCATCACCATAAAACTGGGTACTTCAAAGTCTTCTAAACTCCAAAAATTGTTTTTCACTTCAGTGAAAGGTAGAAACCCCCGTTTGCTCATCAAAATTTCTGAAAAAATTCACATTTATACATTGATTTTAAATTTTCACTAATTATTACAATATTTTTGAGAAGAGAATAAGAAGAGTCTAGAGTCACTAAATGACTAAGGATTTGGAAGTACATCAGACTAGAAAGCGAATAACTGCAGTTTCATATTTCTGCCATAATTTATAAGTCTTTTATTCCTGACTCTTTTGTTAGGCTTTCTCGTCTCTTGTTTTATTTTCTATTATTCATATGATTAAGTATTTATATGAAACATAAATTTTGCATAAGCAATATGGGACTGACATTTCAAAGATGCTTCTTAGCATTGGTGAAAATATTTGAACAATTAATCTGAAGAAAAAGGAGAGCAGTCCTATTCTGCTCATGCATTATCAATAGAAGATTGCACACAGAAGGGAATCTGAAATCCTAATATTTTGCTATGCTTTGCCATAGAATAAACATATTAGCTTGCAAATGTCACCAAAACTAATCAAATATTGGTATAATAGGGCACCACATGAAATATTTTGTTTACCTGTAATGAAACCTCTCTTGGTTCCTGCATGTGCTTCATAATATGGCATAGTGAGAACATTTTATAGATTCTTATTCACCCTCTGATACTCTCCCTGAGGAGATGCCAAGTAATTTATTGATTATCCCTGAGGCATTTGAAAGCTTAAAAGAATGAAAAAGGGGTTGTTATTAATTGCCTAAAACAATTTGTATCTACCAGCAGTGAGTTAGCTTTATTCGTTTGTTTGTGCATTAATTTCCTACCTTGTACTCTTTTTTTTTAAATTTTCTGTTTATTGCAGTAACATTGGTTTATGACATTGTAAAAATTTTAGGTGTACATCATTGTACTTCTATTTCTGCATAGATTACATCCTTGTACTCTTAACTAACTATTTTTGTTTTCCACTTTGATGGTTAGTTTTTGTGTCATCTTGCCTGGGCTATGGGGCACAGTTGTTTGGTCCAACCTCAGTCTAGATGTTGCTATGAAGATTTCTTTAGATATGATTAACGTTTAAATCAATAGACTTTCAGTACAGCCAATTCCCCTCCAGAATGTGGGTGAGACGCACCCAATCAGTTGAAGCCTTAAAGAGCAAAGACTGAGGTCCCTCAAAGAAAATGGAATTCTGCTTTAGACTGCAATATAGAAATTCTACCTTGGTTTTCCACCTTTGTATGCAGTATTAACTGCAGTATCGACCCTTGCAGTGCCGGCCTGCCCTACAGATTTTTGCCTTGCCAGTCCCAACAATTGCATGAGTCAATTCCTTAAAAATCTCTCTCTCTTTACATATATTATATGAGTGTATATATATATAACATATATTGCATATGTATGTCATCTCCTTTTGGTTGTGAAGTACCCTTACTAATACAACCATATCGGGAACTGGATTAATATATTTTATCTTAACAACAAACTTGCCAGTATTCCTCCAGTTCTACAATGGTCTCCTCAAATAGACGACACAATTAAGATGTCTTTAAATGCTGTTTTAGTGTGTTACTTAAATTATTATACAGATGAACTAAAAATGATATATGATACATATAAGGTGTTGTTTCTTCAATTTTTTTTTTGGATTATTGATCTATTTTTTTTTTCCTTTTTCACCATATCAAGAGGAACTATTTACTCCTACTTCTCATTCTCATTTCATGTTGAGTTGTCATCATCTGTAAAGGTCTTCTCTTTCATTATATTTGCCTTGATTATATTTCAATATTTCTTGTTTTTCCACCATGCCCAATACTCATTCCAATTCTTCTTGTCTACCTTGACATATATTGTGCTGTGTTTGATATCTAGCCTGCATGATCAGTATATTCTGCAAAATATAACACTTCATGTGCATTTGTTTTACTATGTTATTTTGCTGTAAATTATATTGTTGCATTTTAAGGCAGTTGACTTATTTGTGTATCCGTATTGTGATATTTTGCTTCTTTCTCACTAGAGTCAATGATATATGGAAAACTTCATGGGTCTATTCTTTACTGGTAGAAATTTGTTTGTCTCCAACCTCGGTTATCACCAACACTACTACAACACAAAGTTCAATGAAAAGCCTTGAGCTTGCTATGTTAACATGTCGTAAACAAAATTATCCTTGATATACATTTCACATATCTGCCTCTGTGTGTGCTGATACACATACAGTTATACCTACACCTACATTCATACATAAGCACACATACAGTAGTGAGATATCTTGGAAAGAGAAAATATAATAAGACATTTAATTTTGTTAAATGTTTCAGATTAGTTGTACCAATACCCTCTTCTGCCAGCAAATAGATGAGGTTCTTGGATCTTCACAACTACGACAGGTTTCTGAATTATGTCGTCTCTTATTAATTGAATAATATTAATTAATGAATAATGTGTGTGTTTCTATTATTGACTTTCTCCTTATTTTTGGTTTGACTTCTTGGCATGTTTATTAATTAAATAAAACAACTTTATAGAGATATCATTGAAAAAAATAAACTGCACGTATATAAAGTGTAAAATTTGATTAGTTTTGAGATATATATGCATCTGAAAAATCTTCAAATCAATCAAGATAATGAGCATATCCATCACCCTATGTAATAGCCTTAGATTTAACATTAAGACAACCCACTGACTTTGTTCACCAATGTTGCACACACTGGTTGTAATTTTAATATTAACAAATATAGAATGCAGGAAAAGTATCTAAATAAAATATGAATACTTTATAATAATGGATTTTTAATTCACAGTAAAGACTTAGCAGAGAATGTTATTTATGCAAATAGTAATGTAGCAACAAATATCATAGAAGAGATGCAAAGACAGAAATAGACAGAAGCATGTATGTATTTAGTGAAAACTAAGATCTGAATAAAGGTAACTTAAACCTCTCAAATTATTCCATTTAGTCATTTAAAAATAAGTTATTCAACCAGTCCTAGGTCAAAGAAAAATAAGAAAAAAACCAGAAAGATTGAAAGTATGACAAAAAATATTTGGTATGCCAATTCAGAAAGTTAGTACATAGATAAACAGAAAAAAAGAGGAAAAAATTAAACCAGGAACTAACATTTAATAAAAAATACTATCTCTGTTACACATGTATCCTGTAATTGAATGTTTTTGACAGTTTCCTACCTAAAATATTCATTAATTTAGAGAATATTTACTGAGCAATAATACATGTCCGACACTGCCCTAGACTCTGGAAAACAGATTAGAGAATAAATCATATATAAATTAAAGTGAATATTATGTGAAATAATGATATGTGCAATGGATACATACAAGAAATAGAAGGAGATGCAAAGTAGGTAAATTACAATTATCATAATGTAGTCAATGAGATCCACGCTGAGAAGAGGCATTAATTGGAACGAATGATGTTATTAGAGGTGTGGACAGCCTTTCAAAGAGAAGAAAAGAAATATAAAAAAATTGTGAGGGTAATATATTGTGTAAGAGATGCTTCATATTTGTGTGGTTGAGGTGTTATTTAAACTTAGTAATCCCTAAATGAGATTCCCTAAAAATAGCTCACTAAAATAGGAAATGTCCTTAGGTAACATTCTCTCTTTTAAGGAGATTGTCTTATTGCAACTAAAGGAATTTCACATTCGAAAAAATGTTAATGATAATGAAAGGGAGGAAGGAGAATAGCAAGGAAAAACACAACCACATATAATTAACTTTGAAGGAGACATGTCCTTGCAATGAAAAGGAGGTCTGTTGGAAGCAGAAGTAAACATGAGCATAGGAAAGGCTCTCTTCTGTACCCTGGTTCTTGGGCCTGGACACTGAGGAGAGGTGGCATCTTCAAAGACGTCACAGAGAGGTAGCGGTCAAAGAAAAACAGAGCCCAAAGCTGAGTCAAGACCAGTTCTGTAGGGAAACCCATAAACATGGCTTGGGCTTATTTGTGAGAAGAGCTTAATCTGCCAGGCAGCTGTACCTTATTCTCTGAATTGTGCTTGTCTTTTGTCATTCTTGAGTTTAAGTGTAATCTTGATAAATGTTAATGCCTAATATCTGTATTCTGTGAGGAAATAAAGAATGGGTTCAGTGCCCACAGTCCCCATGAAATAATGAAATCATAAAAGGGGGAGAAAGGCACCCTCACAAACAGCATGCTAATGACACCAGGAATTTGAACACGTTCCCTGCGATCCCTGATCCACAGGCTGGTATTAGATTGGTGCCAATGCATATTAGATCTAAGGATGGAGCAGAGTGCTTTGAACTAGAGTCCAAACTAATGATTCCGTGGAAAGTGCTACAGGTATATGTGAACTATGGTTTTGCTATCGATTAGGTGGTATTTGCTCCAACTAGTCAGATATAATCATAAAGTTAGTAATAATTGCAACTATTGTAACCTATCCAATTTGAGTCACATGAGATGAAAGTTAATATTATACATTTTAAAGTACAGATTGTGTACATATGTGACTATGTCTGTGCATGTAAATATAAAATAATATATATCAATATTCATATGTTGAAAACTAAGCCCCTGTACCTTGGAATGTGACTGTATTTGGCAATATGGACTTTGTGGAGATAGTTATTTAAAATGAGGTCCTTAAGGTGGACCCTAATACAATACGACTGGCGTCCTTATAAGAAGAGGAGATAGGACAAAGAAACACATGGAGGAGTGACAATGTGAAGACACAGGGGTAAGACTGCCACCTATAACCCAAGGAGAAAGGTCTCAGAAGAAATCAACCATGGCTTCACCTTGATCTCAGACTCCTTGAGTCTAGAACAGTGAGAAATACATTTGTGTTGTTTAAGACACTAGCCTTTGGTACTGCGTTATGGCAGCCCTAACCAAATAATGCGACCAGTATCAGTTATATGTGCATATATGTACATACGTGTGTATATGTATATGTGTGTGTATCTGAAAGTGAATTAAGAAGCAAATAGATGACATAGTATTTATGCATGTGTGGAAATGGCACAGGTGGAGGTATGACTATGATCTTTATCTAAAAATAGCTAAGAAGAATAGAAAGACACTAATAAACTAAAACAAAATATTTTTGTCATGTTGATATTGAGACAGTGAACGTTATTCTTCAATGGTTTCAATTTAATGGTTAGCGTCAAGAGTATACTTTATTGATAAACCAATTTTTCCCAAACACTCTATTCATTGCCTCTTTTACATCTTGATTACTTAAACTGTAGATGATGAGATTCAGCATGGGAATCACAATGGTGTAAAATGTCGACACTATCATGTCATGGCCCAACGAGTAGCTGGAACTTGGTCTCGCATACATGGAGAAGATTGTTCCATAATAAATTAACACTCCAGTTAGGTGAGAACCACATGTAGAAAAGACTTTTCGTCTCCCTTCTGCAGAATGAATCTTCAGAATGGCCATTGCAGCCAAGAGAAAGCACTCTGTGGTCCCAAAAGTAGTAGCAAGAAAGATTTGTGTTGCACATCCAAGGAATGAAATGACTTTACTCTTTGACATAAAGTCTACTAACATATTTGGGGTAATTACTGAAGAATAGCACGCATCCACAGATGATAACACACTCAGAAAATAGTACATGGGGTTGTGGAGCCGAGAATCCCCGATAACCAGTACAATCAGTCCCAAATTTCCCATTAGAGTAAACAGGTAGATTGCTAGAAACAGGAAAAATAAGATGACCTGCAGTTCAAAATTGTCTGGGAATCCTTTCAGTACAAATATAGTAACTTCAGTGACATTCTTCATGTTGACACCTCATGGGACAAATTTGAAAATATTCAAAAAATTACTATTCATTTACTACAAAAAGACTGAATAATATTGTGACTAGGTACTGTGACTCAAGGGAAGGTGAGTTAACACCTAATATTTATTTTTTGTATCATTTCCCAGTTGTAGATCAGGAAACAGTGACAAGACAGTGGGTCAAGTGTTCATGCCGCTCACTGCAGAATCAAATGGAAAATATGGATGGCTGAATTCATGTAATTTTTAAAACCATCACGCCAACGGATTCATTTGCCACTGTATTCTATTAGCTGTTTTCAGATTAAATCACATTAAAATACCAAGTCATTGGCTAAAAAATAATTTCCTTCAGACATACAAAATGGTCAGATAAAAATCAGTGTACAGAGCATTGGAAAGAATAACAGCCTTCTAAACCTTTCAGTAGTTGTGTAAAATGATTTGCTATTGTCTACTCACCTGTCGAATGAGGATATTAATTTTCTTTCTACATTATTGCAGTAAATATTGGAAGACAAAATGTGTTAATAAAATTGAATCTTTACAATTATGTTAAATATGGAATGTGCTGAATTAGGTCAGTTCTACAGAACAGTCTTCTTCTGGATTGTAACATTTTATGAGTTAATGTCTAAAAATTTTCTAAATCTATTAGATCTTCTTGGGTGTATCTGAAAGAAGAAATCAAGATTTTCTTCAGGTTGATGGACCATGTTTGAACTAAGAAATTATATGACAACTTATATTTCACTCAAATTTATTTCTCAAATACAAGAATTACATTGCCCTTTTTTTGATAAGCAGCTGGTCCTATTTATTACTTTTGGATATCTAAATTGTATATGCTTTTCAACTCCCTCAAAAACTGGTGAAAAAAGGAAAATTATTCTGAAAAAATATATATAATATGATTCTTTCAAGGTATTATACTTGTTTAGGTATTGTTTATTGTGGATCCAGTGAAATATCATCTAGTTAATTATTATCTGAGTCCCAACTAAAGTCATTCATAAAAAGCAGCAATTAAAATACAACACCAAAAATAAACAATGTTTACACTGAGAGATAAAACTTAATATTTAACAGCAAAAAAGTAGAAAGAATTGGAAGAAGGAATAGCATGAATCTTTCCTGGATAATCCCAGTGCTAAACAAATTAGGAATCAAACATATACTTGAATCCAAACTTTCAATTATTAGCCCATAATATGGCACAAGGTGAAGGATAGAGCTTATTCAAGTTATATATGATTATTATTTATTCAGTTTTTATATACCCAACCACAGGAAATCTGAGTCAGTCCTGAGGGCACATAATCTGTTGCAAATAATATTCTGTACATTATTTAAATTCATAATGTAAGTCAGGCTCCAGCTTCAATACATTGTGATAGATCCCACCAGTAAGAGAAAGGTCCATTTGGAATAGAAATAGTGATGGGAAGAGAGGAAAGCACAGACCAGCAATCTTCTGGGAAAGACAAAGTCAGGATTCCCTAGAAAAATTCCCAAGATCAGAAGACATTTTCATAGAATTTATTGGAAAGAATAAGGCAGAGAAAACAGGAAAGACTCATATGAGACATCAGAGAAAGCAGAGTTTAGGTTGAACCCTATTCATTGGAAGTACAAGTTATAACAAAACAAATTAGAACCCACAAACTACATACTCTAATTAACCGAACAGTTTTGAGTGACTCTAGTACTATAAGATTCTTTTAAATACACCAGTTAATTAAAAATGTGTTAATAACTTGACTAGAAAACCTCCAAATCTGTACGTTTTTTATTTCAAAGATCTATGAGAAGGGTGACATGAATATTAACTGAACAGAGGTTGAGACAAGTGTGTATACAGGGGTGAAAGTGTTTATATATATGAAATAAAAGCAGAAACAAAAGAAATAAAATACAAACTGTGATGAATATGAGGAAATCTATTTTTTTTAAATGTGACCAGGAGTCACAAGAAAAATATCAGCTCCAATACAGTTCTTGACATCAATTCAATGATATGCCTTCAAGACAAATAACATAGGATTTAGAATCTGAAAGTAGGTATTCATCAGCCAAGTTCACGATTAAAATCCGTGTGCAATGTTAGACTTTCTCTCCAAAGTTTACTCCTCTTTAAATAGTAGCATATTTGAATGACCAAGCAGAAAAAATAGTATACAGCCAGCTAGACAACTTAAATGTGCAGAGCAATAAATATATAAATCAATTTCCTTTAAATATGTCAATTTTTAGTTACAAATTTAAGATGACCATGTAATTGTACTTTTGTCATCAGATGTACTTATTTTTAAAACATTAACAAATATTGGGTCACAAAATTAGTATAACTAATTACTAAAAAATATATGTGATCAGACCCTTGAGCCAGATATTTCATTCTTTAGCTAGATGTAATATACTTGTTACGTGATTATTAATACATATGAAAACATTACTTTATCAGATTAAATCCAATGAATCATGTTTTGATTATGATTTTTTTCATTTAATCACTCTTTATGTCTCTGGATTATTTAGAGCATAAAGAATAAAGAAGTTTTGTGAATTGTATGATCTGTTAATACCAAAAATATACACAGATCACCACAATTTCATTTGCTAAATCACAGTGAACTTAGGTTTACTTGAGTAAATAAGATAGTGAAAGACTACAATGTTAAATATTTCCACTAAATTTCTCTTGAAACCGATACTTCTACTAGATGCTAAAATGAAACTTATACTGGGTATAGATAAGTCAATATTAGAATACATTGAAGGCACTCAGACTTATAAAAAGAAAATGACTATACTTCTTGAAGAATTTAATAATATAGCATCGACTTTCAAAGTTAATGTAAAGCCACTTTTAAAAATGCCATTTTAATAGAAGGTGGAAAATTCTCAATATCTTTGGCTCAACATTGAAAGACTAAGTTTGCAAAGAAGGAGAGAAATAATAACAGCCGTGTATTGAGCACATGCAGCAGGAATAGATGTTTATGCACATTACTTTATCTCACCTTTATAGCAACTCTCACAGCTAGTAAGTATCAGAGGCAAGATTCAATCCCAGGTCTCCTTCGTGGGGCAGGCACTGTCACCATTTTACACTGCCTCCTATAATACCACGACTTCATTCTGTAACTGACTTCCCCAATTGCCACTCCTAGTGAAATAAAACATTATTCTTGATCTATATTCAGATATTTTTAAAACATTGAGCCTAGAGAACCATTATGAAATAGTAGCAATATGAAGTGGCTTCTGCATCACAAAACAGCAAAATAAAAAGATAATTGATTGTTTCTTCATTACAGCAAAATATAAGCCCCTAGATAGTTGAATAGGTCAAATGTTTCTTGCCCTCCACTGACAAGTTTTCTTATTGTTCTTGCTTTACTCTGATCTGTCCTCTTCCATCAGGAAAATGAAAGCAGATGTTCAATTTGGAGCACTCTCACTTAACTCTGCAAACGTAAATTCAATTGTATCTATTTTCTCTGTTGTATTTATTCACCTACAATAAGCATCAACTAAAGGGTTTAGTACTGGGGGTGTTATAACATATTTGACCTTGATATTTTAGGTTCTATCTCCTAAAATATTCTGCAAATAAGCTGAAATTTTCTCTTACCTGTGGAACAGCAAAAGCAGGTTTAGACACACTATGAATACGATTAATTTAAATTGTTTATTTCCACTCACTCAACTTTTGGTAAAACCCACAGGAGATGCTCCAAGGGGAATATACCCCAATTATCTTCTGGTTCAAAACAGGAAGTGATGATTTACTCAATAATGAAAAGAAATGGTCCATAATAATTCACTACATGCTGATATTTACTGATTAAACAAAGTCAATTGTCCTCTCATTTATAACGACGCTTTAAATTTGTATATCCCTAATGGGTAATGATGTTAAATATTTTTTCATATTGGCCTGTAGGCCATTTGTATGTCTTCTTTGGAGAAATGTCTATACAAATGGTTTGAAAATATTTTCATCCATTCCATATGTTGCTTTTTCACTTGGTTGATTGTTTCCTTTGCTGTGCACAAGATTTTTAGTTTGATGTGTTCCCACTTACCTCATTTGCTTTTGTTTCCTGTGCTTATGGTGTCATATCCATGATCATTGCCAAGCCCAGTGTCATGAAGGTTTCCCCTTAAGTTTTATTTTAGGAGTTTTACAGTTTCAGGTGTTATGTTTAAGTCTTAAGTTAACTTTTGTTCATGGTGTAAGATAAGGGTTGAATTCAATTCTTTTGCATGTGGTTATACAGTTTTCCCAACACAATTTGTTCAAGTGACTTTCTTTTCCCCATTGTGTATTCCTGATAGCATTGTTGAAGACCAAATAACCCTCTATATGTGGGTTTATTTCTGGGCTCTTTGTTCTGTTCTATTGGTCTATATGTCTGTTTTTATGCCAATAACCATACTGTTCACTTACTATAGTTTTGTAACAGATTTTGAAATCAGGTAGTGTGATGACTCCAGCTTTGTTCTTTTTGCTCAAGATTTCTTTGGATATTTGGGGTATTTTGTGGTATCACATGGATTTTTCTATTTCTGTAAAAAAATATCATTGGTTTTTTGATAATGATTGCATTGAGTCTTTAGATTCTTTTGGGTAGTATAGACACTTTAGCAAATACAAATCAAAACCAGAATTTAATATCACTTCACATATGTTAGAATGGCTATTATCAAAAAAACTGTCTATATATATAAATGGATTATTATTCAACCTTATAAAAGAAGGAAACCTTACCATATGCTACAATATGCAAGAACCTGTATAGCATCATCTAAATGAAATAAGCCAATCACTGAAAGACAAATACTGCCGAAGTCCACTTATATGAGGTATCTCACTTACATGTTAATTATTTCTCAATAAAGTGGTTTTATATATATATTTTAACACTAGATAAGAACTCCTAAGACATGCTACATAATCTTATATCATATCTCTGACACTGGGTTACCACTTC